TTCCAGCCCAAATGATTCTATGATTCCTATTTTCACTATCTTTATTTGAAGTTTTCTAATATTTTCTACATAAAGGTGAGACTAACTTCTTCTGTTTCCCAAACACTACAAGAAAGGGAAGAATAATGTCTATGAGTCTACCTGAGATAAAAGGAAATCCTGCAGTTCTTGCTCTTGATGGGACAACGTAATAACTCTTCCATCTCTATGCACAACTCTGATCTGTTCAACTCCGATGTTCAGCTGTAGCTGAATGGATCTTTGAAGACAAGATGCATATTTATTCAAAACGCATTACAACACTTAAGAAAACAGAAAACCAAAAGCACAGAATCTCTCCCATTCACTGACAAGAACTCTAAGATGAGGGTGGTGCAAAGCTTATAGAATACGACAGCAACTCCAACCATTTCAGCTTCATCGCTCACCACAACAGCTCCCTCTGTATTGCATGGGACATATTCTGTGGCGTGTTCCCAGACCTGGTCCACTGCTTGTTCAGGTCAAGGAACTTCCTGAGGTGCCTCACAGCTCCCTGCCTGCCATCGTGCCCAAGTTTCCTTCCAGAGGTGCAGGGGAAAGTGGTGCGTACTCAGGGCCTGTTCTATCCTACGGCCAAGACTTGGGCAGCATGTGTCCTTTGGAACCCAGGCTGCAAATTGCACCAACAACCGCAGTCTGCTCCACACTGTGGACATAGCCAGAGAGGACTGCTCAAAATGGAAAAATCAACTGGGTCAGCCACTGTCAATGCATTAGTTAATTCGCTGAGGCCAGCACGCAGACATTCATTTCTGGAACATGAATTCTCTTATTTCTATGACAGTGTGCATAACTAGTAGCATGAATTACATGAGTTCCACATTTTGGTACTTACACAACCAAGATAACACTGAGCGCTGATTAGCTCTCCATGACCAGACTGGAAATTTAGAATCCAGCACATACAAACATACTTTATATTCAGCTATCTCTATCCAAAGTAAATCACCCATAAATGGGCACTTTCACCTTCAATTAATGACTTACTAAGTTTCTTCATTAAAGTGTAAATTGGGTGAAAAGTTTTCTTAGGATGGCTGTACTCCCCGAACTCAGAAAAACAAACACTCGCACACAAGTAACAGGGTCCTACTTGTCAGGCTGAAGAGAATCTAAACCTGTAAAACACAACTTAAATACACTCTGCCATTGCTGCATGCTTCTACAACTAAAAAGATACATACATTTTCATACTTACTTGCATATTTGTTCGTATCCTTGAGAAGTTATTAGAACCTTAACGCTGGATTCGTAAACATCATTTATATTGGACCAATGGGCCTGAATCTGAGGATCCTCAATACGACTAGCCAGACTGTCAATGGTTCGAGCAGTTCTAGAAGATAAAGACATATTCCACACACAATAATCTGGACAGTTTGTACTGTTATCATGTTTAAAGGAAATGAGTAGGTTATTTGTTTGAGTGGGTTTTCTGTAGGACATTTAGGAGGAAAAAAAACCCAAAACAAGCCAAATTTACCAGAACCATGCGGATCAAAGTTCCATTTCAGCACCATTCTGGTACACTGGTACAAGTGTAAACACTTGTTTACTCTGTACATTTCACATACATTCTGCAGTAGTATTAAAGTGGTATTACTCGGTATCGGCTACTGCACATCAAAGTTCTAAAAAAGATTTATGCAGTTTAAAAAAAGTAGGGACAATTATAAACAGCCTATGTCATAACTGTCACAGAGATCTCAAATCTGATTTATTTTTTTTTTTAAACTAGCTGAGTGTGGTTTGCTCATATTTCATGGTATGTTATTGGTTCTTAGTACTTAAAAATAAAGATTATTTTAACAGTGAAGGAAGAAGTAGCTACTTTTAAGAACACTGAAAAGAAGATCAATTGTAGTCTACATAATGGTACATTTTATTGTAACTTTAACAAGAATAGCTTGTGACATACCTGCGTCTCAAAAAGATATGTTTTGCTTGCTTTATTATCTTTTCCAGAAGTCCTTCATTCGACTGTAAAGTACTGATATCATTTTTATCAAAAGCCTGGGGTCCCGCAAGTCTCATTCTCTTATGGCCAAAAGGTGCACTAGCTGGATGTGGCATCACTGTTGAGCTCAGGGTTTGCTTGTGACACTGCAGCAAACAACAGATGTTATAAAAGGAAGTGACCAAATTATGTATCTGCAAGAAATAATAAGTATGCTACAATATGCTGCTTCACATCAGGTTTTTTAAGTGTACATAGTTTCAAAAAGTGCAACTTCTTTACTTTATAAACTTGACAGCAATTTAAAGCCAGCTTTACTCTCATACTTTGCCTCCCCTGTTTATGCAGGTCTTTCAAACCTTATGGAAAGTGATTTTTAAAAAAAAAGTGATAGCTAACAAAAATTTGGTAGTACGACAGTAGCTCCTACTACTAAGTCTGCCTTGTATACATCTCTGGAGACAGACAGAACGGTCAAAGAAAAATAAAGGAAGCATTTTATTGATTAAAAAAATTGAGGTACAAAAAGATTTAGCAACCTGTTCAAAGTCAAGAAAGGAAATTCACAACAGAGCTGGGCACTCAGCCAAAGCTTCGTGAAACCTAATTCAGCATTTAAAACACTGCATTATTCCACACAACTGCATGACTTGCAGAGCCATGCTCGAAGTAGATCAACACTCTCTGGAACACAGTTTCACAACTGCTTTAACATCTAAAATTGTGCTCCTTTCCTGAACATACGCAACCTCAACCTTCTACCCCAGGTCATTCTGCTAGATTGTACAACAAAAACACTGAAGCAGCGAAAGGGACCTCAAAAGACATGAAGTTATTATGGTAATTGATTGTTCTTTCTTCGTGGGAGTACGGTCCGAGCAGATGCTCAACTTGGAATACCTGACAAGCACTAATTAGACACAAAGAAAAAAGGGAGACTGATGAGCTATACTGGAAAAACCTCGCAGGGCTTTTCTCAAGTAAGGAGATGGGTCTGAGGTTCAGTAAAGAATTAGCGTTCCATGAAAGCACTGGCCGGAACTCCCTAACCACCTATACATGCTGTAACTGAAGGGTAGGTTGCCTTACACAAATGGATAGGAAGTGTCTGGCCTCTAGTGGCACTCTGTTGTTACCACAGTGCTGCACACTATGTAGGAGACCAAACAAAAACCCAAAAACTCTTCAGTACTTGACCATAAATGCATTACCTCTCTGATAAGTTGATGCAAATTATGTTCCAGAACATAAAGATGATCCTCTGGATTCTGTTTTTCAGAAGCAGACTTTTGTGATTTTTTGTCATTTGAGGAATGACACAGAGAAATAGACAACTGCAAACCTGTACAAAGCAGATTAAAAAAAAAAAGGACATTGACAATTTTCAAGAAGGCTACTGAGAACTGCTTTTCTTCACGCTTTATAGTCAGTAGTTTTAGAACTAGCTTTCACTGTATCACAGAAAAATCAAATAATGATGTTGGACAGCACAGCACCAAAGCCAAGTAAGGCCTGCTACTCACTGAAGTGTTGACAGGCCAACTATTAACTCACTAGCTGCATTTCACACCAATTTCTGTGATTCAATCCCACACAAAATGAAGAGTCCCCCAGGACCCCATTCCTTCTCCAAAGAAGGAATGATTTACCATCATGTAAGTTTTAAGCAATCCAGAAACTTATTCTTCACATGATATAATCAGTTGTGTACCCCTTGTAAGAACAGAGGATTCACCAGTTGGTTCTGAGTCATCTTCATGCTGTTTAATTATGCTCACTGAAGAGTATTAGCCTCTGTTCTTCTCAAGACCCATTAACTCAAGTCTCAAATTTCACCTGCATGCAATCCAAGAGCAATGACTTCTTCACATGATATAATCAGTTGTGTACCCCTTGTAAGAACAGAGGATTCACCAGTTGGTTCTGAGTCATCTTCATGCTGTTTAATTATGCTCACTGAAGAGTATTAGCCTCTGTTCTTCTCAAGACCCATTAACTCAAATTTCACCTGCATGCAATCCAACAGCAATGACTTATGCACAGCTCCGAACTCCAATGTGCACATGGCATTACAGTTGAGAGCTTTAAGTGCTACTGACAAAAAACACAATCACAAAGAAAAACAATCCAAAATCCACACAATAAAATATTAATAAATTGGAAACAAAAGTGCATTGGTTGAATGTTTCTATAATTAGCAAAATTCAAATTCTGGGAAATTCTGTTTTTCAAAACCTTTGAAAAACAAGGAAATTACTTTCTTTTTTTTTTTAAGAACAGAGCATTAAAGAAGTCACATCAATCAGAATTTCACTTCATGTTTAAGCAAATATCACAGGTTAAGAAGTCTTAAAAAGTTTCCTACCTGGGAAAGGCTGGGAGATTATCTGATTTTTCACAACAATGTGAGGAATTTGTGATTTAATTTGAACAGCTTCTCGTGACAGCTGCGCAAAGATTTCTTTACATAAAAGAACATTCTGTGCTGTCTCCAACTTTGTCTGCCAGTGTGGAGAACCTGAAAAACATAAGTCAATCTTTACCGAAGGAAAGAATAAAGAGAAGCTACCTTTTTGTTCAGATATCAGATACTGTGCAGTAGCTATGAGTATCACTAAAATATGGTAGTCATTATCTGCTATCCAAATTGAGTATTTTCAGAATTTTATCTCAGTTAAGGAACCAGTTTAAGGTAACACGAATGCATTTTACTTCGATTTCACATATATTACATTGTGAACTGCAACTCTCTTCTCGAACTGCCTGTTACATTCCCAGGCCTTCTGTGAACTCTGCTTACGAACCTCTGCTTCTTAAGTTGCAATTTACTTTCAATGATACGTCTAGCTTTATTAAATTCACTCTACCATGAACCACCAAATAATGTTAAGTTCATGCATGTGCTTTCACAGGATTTACAGGCTCAAAATTCTTGGAAGATTCTGGCCTGAGTAAGCACACAAGCTCTATACTCTACCCTGAATACCATATAAAACATCTACGTAGTACAGCATCCTGTCTGCATCCAAGACAGCAGAAGCATCTGAGTCACAAACCACTGTGAAATAAAATCCTGCCAGTTCTTTTTAATCCTAAAGACTAAAGGATCAATTTTTAATCCCAAAGGTTTAGTTTCACATACTGGCACCTATCAAATGAACTAATGTACTATCTGTGAGGTGAGCTGTTGGTAATTAATGCATATACTGCCAGCACAGTTTCATATCCAGAGAAAACATATGAGCTGCAGAAACAAATGATGCATTTTGGGCAAAGTTAAGAGTGAACAGTCAGTCATTCAGTTCTGTTGAACTAATGGGATGTTACTGGCTGAAACACAGTACCTTGGTTCATCAGTTATGTGCTCAAACTTTTAATGACTAACAAAAGGCACTCCAAAATACTTAAAATACAATCCTAGTAATTTTGTTTCAGAAATTGAGCAAACACATACAAAAAACGGAGGGAGTATGGTTTGAAAGCATCATGTCTCCAAAGCCCAAGCAGCACCTAAACAGAAAATTTCAGTTTAAATGACAATATTTTTGTTTGCTCTTCTTTCAAGCTGTATGCCAAAATTTTGAATTAAACATCACATGCAAACCTGTTTCTTGAGAACATGCTCAAAACCCAACATATAGCTAGCTATACCTGGTTTTGATTTTGGCATAGGTCTTTTAAAGAGATTGACTGTCCCAAGGTCACCAATGTCTGGAGCTTGTTTCTGAATAGAAACCTAGGCAAAAGAGAACATTATTTGATGTTTGTTCTTTGTTGCAAGCATACCAATACCAAAACAAAATCTAATCTACATTATTAAAGTTTCTCTGGCAAACCTTGATATAGGCTGATCCCTCTAAATCGCTTGGAATTTGAACATCTAAAGGACAGTAATCCTCAGGTATCTTTTTATCCAGGTCAATGTCAGTGTTCTTTATCACCTCAAATGTGCCATGATGAAGAAAAAGGGAGCCTAAGAAAGGAAGGACAAAGACATACGTATTATATAAAAAACATCTTCTGCAAGTAACAAAGCTCGTATCTCTGTTTTGGAAGAGTTTGTACTTCTAAGTCTCCAAACCTCCATAGTTGAACTTGACTCAAATTTCTTACTGACTTCTTAAAAAAACAGGTAAATTAGAAAGCTCCCCTCAGCACAGCGGCATCTCAGCCCTCCAGTGTGTGCTGTGTAATATTTCACAGCAAGTTAGCAAGTAGTATTTAATAATTACAGCAGAAAACCAACAGTGTTTCAAAATGGTATCAGTAGATGCAGGGAAGGAAAAAAAAAAAGGGTATTTGGTTAAAACAAGACAAAAAAATTACCTGCCCAAAGTTTTGCAAGCAAGTAGCTTAAGGTGTAACACCCTTACTGATTTAAAGGAATGCTGATGATGTTTGGCTTGCAGTCTTAAAACTATGACAAAGTTCTGCCTGTAAAAAACAACTGGACAGCCAGTCGTTCAGGTGGGACTGATAAAAGCAGATGCCCACACCTGTCCTAGCTGCAGCCCTTTTACATCCAGGGCACGGTTCATCTAGTTTAGGATAAATCATTTAAAAAGAGACACATCCTGGGTTACATCGACAGCTTCTTCATGAACACAAGATGAATAACCCTAAGTTTGTCCTTCCTCTCTTTCACTGATGACAACAGAAGTCCAACATAACCAGTTCAGATATCTACTCTGTATCTACGTCTTAAGTTTGGTGAGATTTTATATTCAACTCTTTCACTCCATAATTAGCTCGAGAACTCTGGGCTGGTTACGCTCTCTTACTGTAATCCATGAAATAATGCATATTCTCAGTATCATTTCTCACAAGTGTAGGAATAATAAATATAATAAATCTATCTTTGATGACGCTCTTTAGTTATACAGTTTAGTTTTAGGCAGTCATCCGAGGAGTAGGGAGTTAGATGTGATGATCCTTATGAGTCATAGAATCATGGAATGGTTTGGTGGGAAGAGACCTTAAAGATCATCTGGTTCAACCCCCCTGCCACGGGCAGGGACACCTTCCACCAGACCAGGTTGCCCAAAACCCCATCCAACCTGGCCTTGAACACGTGAGTCCCTTCCAGCCTGAGATATTCTATGATCTTTGCTCAGAGGAAAATGCAACATGCTCCTCTTTTGTGGTTAGTTTTTTTTTTTAAAAAGTGTTTTACAGACCAAATATAGATAAAACTCAAAGATTTACAAGGTCTAGCTGTCAACTGATCAACTACATTGTCAATGCAGAATTGTTTCTGTGAAGCAATCTTTACTAGAATCCTACACAGTTAGCCCTTAAAAGTAATTTTCTAGGTTCAGGGTGGCACGATATTTTTCCTGATAACAAAACCAGTTTCCTTCTTTTATAATCCTGTCTCATAATTACAATAAACTTCTATTAAATTGTATTATTTATTATTATAGATATTCCCTCTGTTTTTCCAGTTACAAAGAAAAATTAATAAAATACAAATATCCATTCTTGAGAGAAACAAAAGACCCTACTGTTCACCTGCACTTCTGTAGCTCAGATCACCAAGAATTTTGTCTCCCACTTTTCTCAGCTTCCAGTGTTGCCTCAGTCTTAGCAGTTCAGAGTTGAAGTCTCTTTGACGCTTATTTTCCTGGTTTTCTGCAACCGATTTGGATAACCTTTCTGCACCTTTCAACAGGATTTGAGCTGCTCCAGCCAATGATTTCTTTTTTGAAATCAACTGTAGAAACTGAGGATTCTAGTAACAAAAAAGAGAGAAAAAGCTACTTTCATCTTAATTCTCAAAAAATTACTATTAGTGGAAAGTAACTGACAGTGACCGATAACTTGGTTTTGCTGGATTTTCAGTAACTTATTTAGAATTACTTTCATGCTAGCATTACATAGCCACCAAGTAGCATTTTCACTTTCAGCTTCAGCAAAGAGGCCTTTGAAATCAGCCTCACCTCCCATTCTCAGCATTAACCTTGACCTTACGATGTACCAGCATATCACAAGAAACTTTTTACTAAACCTTGCATGTATCACACATGAAAAAATCCAGTAAAATAAAATCTTTAGTATAAAGCCATACAAACTACACAGCTAGGTACAATATACCTGTTTTGGAGGAAGGGGATCCTGCACTACTGGATCTAGAGTCATGAACTTCTTATCCTTCACAATGCTAAGAACATCATACAAGACACACATCTCAGTCAAGGCGCTTCTTAAGTTGTTCCTCACAGAATCCCAAGGCCAGAGGGATGGCTGAAACTTTACCAACCCTACAAATAAAAAAAAAAGAAGGGAAAACAAAGGATTGTAAAAAGACACAGTGCAACGCTCATTCTTATACCACAGAGGAGCCATAAGGGCATCAAATACAACATAACAGCATGATATCTGGATGTATGCTTTTCCACTCTACCACTCTAATTTACCGGGATTCGGTCACGAATATCCTGACCCGATTCACGGCCAAGCATGGGAATCCACGGGGAAAGGCAAGCCAGGCCCAAACGCCCGTGGGGCTGCAGGCCTCCATCAGCTCGGGCTCTGGGCCGGCTGACAGGGAGCTG